TCGTATTATAAAATTTATGAAACATTAAAAAGCTACTAACATTTAAAAGTACTGTAAAAATGGTACATCACTGCTTCTTTTTCTTGGTGGTATTAATATTGAAAATACACATAATATATGTAATTTAATAGCTCTTGATACAATTAACGTGGTTTTGGTAGTTTGCTTTAATGAAGAGTAATTCAAGTATGCTGGCTGGTGGGCTAAATTTAGCTCCACCAAGCCAGCGGAGTTTCTTTAACTTTTTCCTTTCAGAATGCAATAGAAGCAGCTTTTTTCTGTAGTAGAATGTTCAGTAATTTTTTCTGAGTCTTGCAACTGTAAGTTTGTACGGATTGGTTGTATATAATCGATATGGGGACCAAAAAACGCTGCAGCTTGTCTTCAGTGGCTTATTACCATCTAAATATACAGGGCATTAATAACCGCAGTTCGACCAAGCATAATTTGGTTGAAAGTATTCTTCTCTCTGATGATAACATTTCTAAAATTTTCTGTATTTCGGAATCTCATCTTTCATCTTCGGATCCTGATCAATTATATGAAGTCCCTGGATATAAGCTGTTTCGTAAAGATCGCAGTAAAGACCACTGTAAAGTTCGCGGCGGAGGTCTCCTGCTGTATGTGCCCAATTATATCAGCAGTAAACTCGTTGATTGCAAAGAAACGTATGCTCATTGTGAAAGTTTGTGGGTTTTATTACAAATCGGAAAGCGAAAAGTATTGGTGGGTTTGATTTACCGTGCTCCGGATTCCAACGCTTCAGATACAAAATATTTGTTTGCGCATATCGATAATACCCTGTCTCGGTTCCCTGATTGTGATTACGTGCTTACGGGAGACTTGAATATCGATACTTCCATCAGTAGTACTCCGTACCACCGCTATTACCATGATCTGCAAACAAATTTTAATCTCGACGAAAAGGTGATAGGTTATACTCGCGTGGCCAACAGGAAAATGAAGAAGGATAACATGAATTCTATCAGCTGCACCAAAATCGATACTATGCTATGCTCCCCACTTTCCCTGTATGCCAGTATGCCTGCTACCGATGTCAGTTTTTCGGATCATCGCCTGTGTCGTACTGTTGCACAGTACAAATCTAAAATTCCAGTTCACAAAACAATTCAATTTCGATTGTGGAGCCATACGGACGATAACAAGTTTTTAAATGAAATCGGTGAAACAGTGAAGCGCTACGAACAGTATGATGAACAACGTGACGTAAATGAAGTTGTGGAGAATTTCGTGCAAGACCTCTCAGCTGTGGTTGACAAATGTTTTCCTACACGCTCCCGCCGTGTAAAGCGTGCATCTCCACCGTGGATGAACGATGATTTAGAAGCTATGCGAAAGATTAAAGACCAACTGTACGAAGAGAAATGCAGATCACGTGGGACACCGATGTACGATCAGCAAGCCCGAGAGTATAAGCGAGTGAAGCTAGAAGTAACGTGCAGTCCTTACGCAAATGGTGAATCAGTCGCTGAAGGGGGGAGTGTTTCCTTCCGTCTTCAAAAAAGCCGAAGTTTACCCCTTGCCAAAAAGTGTTTCTCCGCAGTGTGTTGATGACTTCCGCCCCATTTCGCTACTTTGTAATTTCTCGAAGGTGTTTGAGAAATGCGTCCAATTGCAGTTAGTGCGTTTTTTGAAAGAACAACAGATCTTATCCCCAAATCAGTCTGGATTCAGAGACGGTCATTCTTGTGAAACGCTATTGTTAAAAACAACGGAGAAATGGAAGAAGGCATTGGATAGCAGGAATGTGACAGCAGTGTGTTTTTTAGACCTCAAGAAAGCATTTGACAGTGTAAGCCATTCGCGACTACTGGACAAGATGAAGAAAATCGGAGCCGGGAATATCGTAGTGAAATGGCTACATAGTTACCTTACCGGCAGAGTGCAAAGAGTACGAGATGGGAAACGAACATCCGACTGGCTGCCATTAACATCTGGCGTCCCGCAGGGCACAGTGCTAGGACCAATCCTGTTTACCATCTACATTAATGATGTACTTACTGTTAACACAGAAGATTGTGAGGTTGATTGTTTTGCAGACGACACAATTGTCCATGCAACTGGAAAAACGAAAAGTATTGCTGCCGCTAAACTGAACGCTGGACTGGTGCGTGTCGGCCAGGTTATGGAAGAAAATCTCTTGCACGTAAATGGAAAGAAATGCCAAGCCATTTACTTATGTTCTGACCGAAACAAACAACCGGATCCGGAAGTCGTCATCAACAGGTCGGTTGTCAGCATTGCAAAATGTTTACGGTATCTCGGCGTTGAGATCGATTACCACTTGAAGTGGAGTGAGCAGTTCAGAAAGGTGCAGCGGAAGGGGAATTTCGGCATTGCCATGATTAAGCGGGCACAAGAAGGGCTCAGCATGTTACAGCGCAAAGGTCTTTACCACGCTTGCTTTGGATGCCATATCGGACACCAGTCGCCGGTATGGTCTGCAGCGTCTTCGACTGAGCGCGACAAGCTGGACGGACTGCAACGTAAAGCTTTGAAAACCATCACTGATTACAAGATGCCGGTTACTCCGGAACTGTATCAGAAGTTGGGTATTCCTCACATATTCGACCGATGGCGTCAGAGCGATGCGGTGTGGTTGTTCAAGTTCTGGAACAAAGATCAGTTCTCACTTCCGGCCTACCTCCTGGACATGATCCAAGTAAAAGATAACACCGCGCACTACAACTTGCGGAAGCCGGCCCGGATCGATGTTACGCGGGCAAAGAAAGTTTTCGGAGGGTCGACTATGGAAATGCGACTAAAGCGTCTTCTTGATAAAATTCTTGCTGTTAATCCTAAAATTCTCGAAGCTAGTTCTGTGCCTTCTTTTAAATTTCTACTCAGATCTGTTAATCTCTCTTAAATGTTTTGTTAACAGAAAATTGTTTTGTTCGACCAGACTTGAAGTCCCTTCGGGGTTGTCTGCTCTTGTGCCGTAATAATAATAATAATAAAGTGTCGTTAACATTGTAATTGTAGCATCTTATAAGGAATTATCGGAGATAATTAATGTTAATTCTGGCGAGCGGCATGCTTTTGCCTCGCCTTTGACATCAATGTTCTGTCGCGCGACAGATTTATTGGTGGCCATCTAGGTGGTCAGATAACATTTCCTGATGTTGCTCTGGTTTTCATGCTGCTTTCTGCAGCTTTGCATGCCCATCTACCAGTGGTGAAAATCTTTGATGCAGTTCACATCGATCGCGATTTTGTGAAAATTCTGGAATAAAATTCCATGTTGCTGTGCTTTAGTGTATTTGCTCCTGCCATATGCTCCTTCATTATGTTATAGCGTAATCTTGTCCGCGGCATATCTTGTCGACAATTATTACGTCGTGTCTCTCATGAATTGTATATAGCCGCTTGTGTTTCGTACGATCAATTTTTGGAGGTCCCTGTTTACGTTTTCTTTATCGAGGATCAGTAATAATTTCCCTTTACATAATAAATATTGGCTTTTTATTTGTGAGTACCACCGTATTGGCGGTCGCCCCGTTCTTCCAGCCCGGCATATTGCCGGGTGCGCAAAATGCCCAACTTCATTTGCTTGCATTCTGGCTACCCTTGTACGTGTACTCTGTGCTCTTCTCATATCACTGCGAATCAAGTTGTAACAGATTTAGCGCATCTTTATTCATATGACTTTTACGATTTTCCTGCACGATTTTTGACGTCAAATTTGATTTTTAATCGTTTTTTGCGTTATCATCTTCGTGACTCAGCCGTATCCGATTCGACAATTAATATCTTTGCCTTTGGTATTGCTTCAATCTTCCACTCTATCCTATCTGACGCATCGGATTAATTGTGGACGCTGGGATTCACAATGGGACGCACATGGAAAACGGTTGATGCGCCTGCTGCCGTCGGGCGTAACTCCAGAAGGATCTCCAAGCCTGCACCGCGACGTGGCCGGCCACCTCGTGCGCCCACTCTAAAGGTTACTACTGCTCGTCCAAAGCCTGATCGGTTGTCAGAACTTCTTGCACGTAAGCGGCAATTGTCTGCAGAAATCAATGAACTGACAGGGACTTCTGAACATTCACCAGTATCACCCCCCTCATCGTTGCGTAGTGTTCGGTTTTCTCCTTCTCCTGAGCGTACAGGTAACGGTAGCGTTGTGTATGTGCCTACCAAGAAAAGCTCTAATGCTGCAGTTCCCAGCGTTTTTAACCGGCTTGGTGTAAAGCCTGACGCATTAATTCAGTATTCAGATGATATCACTGACCTGCCAGCCGTTGCTGAAAAACTGAGCAGAGATTTGTTTGATCATTCTGCGTTCGTTGATTTCACCGAATTATTTTCCTTGTCATTTGTTTTCGAGTTAAATTTACCTAAAGTGCGTCGTGACGAATTTGTTCAACCATTATCAGCCGTATCAGCGGCCGGCCAGCGCGCTAGTGCCATGACCTTTACAATGTGGACTCGATGTTATCACATTTTCATGTCTTACCGGATTTACAACAAGCCAGAGTTTGTTTTGCCAATGTTAAAATATCTCGACATTATGGAAAGTTTTGCTCATTCATTTGACACCGCTCAGTGGTTTAATTACGATCAGCGCTTTCGAATGTTTGTTCGTATGCACCCGAATAATGCCGCCATTTGGTCTAAGACTGATCATGAAATTTATAGAGAGTGCTTTATGACTGTATTTCCCAGTATGCGTCCAAGTGGAAGTCAGGCAGCGTCTTTTGAACGTTCGACACAGTCAAGTGTTCCACCACCATCCTACTGCTGTTACAAGTGTTTTATTCCTGGCCACTGGATCCAGAAACGCCCTAATCGCCGTAAGGATCCTCCTAATCGTTACCCGGAACCCCAGCTTTTTCGCGGGCGCAACGAGACGGATGACCGTCTCTGTTCCGAATGGCAACGCGGATTCTGCACTCCACCATGCCAGTACGGGAAGTTGCGCCGCTGTGCAACGTGTGACACCGGTTCCCATGGTTTGCGCACCTGCAAGAAGCGCTCTAATGTCGGCGAAGCCGCCGCGAACCGCGTCGACACCTCTCAAGCCTGATGCGTTTCGGCATTACGTGCGCAATCATCCTGACCAGCATTTTGTAAGTGTGATTGTTGACATGATCACTAATGGTGCAGATATTGGTTAATTCGGGCCTGTTTGTTCTCGTTTTACCGCTAACGCTAAAACTGCGCGCGATCACCATGACGCTTCGCTAAAAGCTATCGAAAAAGAAGTTTTGTTGGGACATACAGTCGGTCCTTTTACGAAGCCGCCATTTAAGCATTTTTCTATCAGTTCACTCGGCGTGCGTGAAAAGAAGCTGAGTGGACATCGAGTTATTCTTGATTTATCCCGGCCAGTTGGTAATAGTGTCAACGATTATATCGATGCTGAAGCGTACACGGTCTCTTATTGTGCAGTTGACGATGCCGTTCAATTGTTGACACGTATGGGAGTCGGGGCGTTAATGTGTAAACAGGATATTAAGCATGCTTTTCGCTTATTTGCTGTGCGTTCTGCCGATTGGCCTTTGTTAGGCTATAAAGTTGGAAATCACTTTTATTACGATATTGTTCTGCCATTCGGTGGAATATCGTCTCCGCGTCTTTTTTGCATGATCTCTGACGCTTTACATTGGATTGTGGCAAATGTTTCAGGAAAATTTAGCATTTTGCATTATGTTGATGATTTCTTCATTGTTGAACTTACGGTGGAAGCCTGCCAGTTTATCGTTAACCTGTTACTGCAAATTGCTCAAGATCTCGGTATTCCTTTTTCCTTCGACAAAGCTGAAGGTCCTTCAACCTGTTTGCCGTTTCTTGGTATCACTTTTAATTCAGTGTCACAAACTTTATCCCTCCCAGCGGGTAAATTAGAACAACTTATTGCGTTAATTAATGTGTGGCTGGCGCAGCCCATTTGGTCCAAGACTGAGCTTCAAAGCCTCTTCGGCTCATTGCAGTTTGCCGCAAAGTGTGTTCCTGCTGGACTTTTATTCACGCGTAGACTAATTAATCTGCTATCTTCGCCAGATCCAAATCGAATCGTTATCACTAATGATATTTATGATGATCTTCGTTGGTGGGCAGAGTTTTTGCCAAAGTGGAATGGCTGTGCCTCATTCCTGTCTGTTAACTGGTCTCATCCTGACGCTCTTCATCTGTATACAGATGCAGCTGCCGGCACCGGTTTAGCCGCGTATTTTGATGGGGAATGGTTTGCATGCCGCTGGCCATCACAGGAAATTGCTCAACGGTGCATCGCATTTCTGGAAATCATTCCTGTTTATGTTGCGTGCTTAGTTTGGGCAGGAAAATTTCGGAAACAACGAATTATTTTTCATTGTGACAACATGGCGGTGGTTCAGTGCTGGTGTACACTTAATTCAAAAAATTCTGACATTGTGCATGCTTTGCGAAAAATTTTAATGGTTGCAGCTTTGAATAATTTTACAATGACTGTAAAACATGTTTCGGGCATTGATAATGTAATTGCCGATTCACTTTCCCGTTTCGAATTTGTCCGTTTTTGCGCAGCTGCTCCGAATGCTTGTATGCGTCCAGTAAATGTGCCTGATTTTTGGTCTGATATCTTGCAGATGCAACAGTCTACCATTTGATGCAGCATCATATTTCCGCATCAACTCGGAAAACGTATTTGACCGCATTGAATCAATTTTTGCAGTTCCTGTCTGCTTCACTTTGCAATTCGTCACTGTTTGCCGAAGTCAACGTGCTGAATTTCATTGCTCATTTATATCGTTGTGGCCATAAGTTTTCATGTGTGCGAACATATCTTGCCGGAATCACAAAATACGCGCTTGAAAGTGGTGTATCTGATCCCGTATTGTCCATAAACGTTCAACATGCATTTAAGGGATTTCAGCGGTTGGCTCGTATCATGCCTGATAACCGAATGCCAGTTTCATTAGTCATAATGCGATTGTTAAAAGCCAGAATTATTGCTTATCGTTATATGACCAATCATTACTTTGGTGCGCAATGTGTTTTGCATTCTTTGGTTTTTTGCGTATCTCTGAATTTGCAGTTTTGTTGAGCAATAAGCACACTGTTTAGTTTCGACACGTCACCTTTGATGGGCATCATGTGTCACTTGTTATTCCAAGTTCTAAAACCGACCAATTTTCTCATGGTTATACAGTGCATTTTAATTCAACTGAGCGTTCAATTTGTCCTGTTCGTGCATATATTCGTTATTCGCGATACCGTGCCCATATTGATGTTCAAGCTCCATTTTTTGTGTTTCGTGATGGGTCATCATTGTCTCGGAATTATTTTGAATGTTGTTTACGTCGGTTATTACCGGAATTTCCTGATATTCATTCTCACAGTTTTCGTATTCGCGCTGCAACCACTGCGTTGGCGATGAGTTCATCTTGTCAGCAAGTACAGTCTGCTGGACGTTGGAAATCTTCGACATTTTCAAGTTATATTCGGGAGAATCTGCCAATTCAATCATTCCGCATGTACTGAGTTCTGTTTGGGGGTTTGTTTGCGGCGTTTCTGTTTTGGTTCAATGTGCATTCATTGTGTATTTATTGTTTTCAATAAAATGCCCGGCAAACCCACGATGCGGTGTTCTGTTTACGACCACAGCGAGCGGCAGAGTTAAATATTCAGTAAAACAGTCAGATTGACTAAACTTCTGAGTAACAACTTCGCCTTTAAGGCCGTTGTATGACAAAGGGGCTGGGTGCCAACATGAGTAACAGACATTAGTAACGGTTACACTCATGAATTCTAACAGCTCTTCTATGCAAGAATACAATCCCCTTAGAAAATTAAGTAGGTTTTGAATTTCTGGTTTTAACGCTGTTTTGCTGATGCAATATCTTGGTTTTCAGTTAAAGTAAACTTTACATTTCTGGTTGACCAAAATTAACTTCCCATAAATACGTTTTAACTAGCGTACCTCATATTGCGAATTTTATTGGAAGTTCTCATAAAAATAACATCATTTTTAGGATGTGATTTTTAAAAGGCCTCCCTATAGACATCTGATAGAACAAATTGATAAGCCTACGCATCCCAGTCATCATTGCAAAAAAATTGTCCAAACCAAATTTTAAAAAAATTAATGCATTTTCTAACGGAAGCTACGTTAAACCTTTAGTTAGCGTTAAAATGCAAACACCGTGCAAAAGGTTTTTTATAATAATTTTTAATGTCTATAATAATGATGGTCTTTTAAATTGTGTCAAATACAACGTGAAGCGCAACCTGATGTGCAGCCTGCGGTACAACTTAATGTTTATCTACAGTACAACTTGATGTGCATATTGTTGTACAACCTGATGTACAACCAACAGTACATCGCGTAGTGCAGGCGGTAGTACAGCAAACGAGCGCCGCTATAACAGAAAAAGCTAAACAGTTTCGGTGTTTTGCCACTATTTTGTTGGGAAACCATTTTACTTTTGCAGTGGAGATTGTTTTGTTGTGCAGCAATAACAAATTTTAAAAATCAATACTGTTCGACTTGTATGCACTTATAAAAAAAAGCGCACGATAAGAAACGTTCTGTGCCCACATGTTTTCCACAACGTGCCATTAGTTTCTAAATTGAAAAGGTGTTTAATGAGTGAAATTCCGCGGAAAAGTGATCAGCAAAAACAAAATATCAAAAGTGTTATATGAAAGAAAAACGAACTCTGACATTGAGATTAAAAAATCAATATCACATGCAATTACAGATACATACAGACACAGTGGTTGCAATCGAAGCGGAGAAAATTATGAAGTCTTATACGCAATTAAGATTCGGTGGCTAGCGCCCTGCTCATTGGCTGTGGGTGGGTGTTCGTTAAAGCGTTAGGTCTACGAGGAGCTGTTTTCGCGTTAGGAACGCGTAACTTGGCCACTGTCAATCAGGGCATCCATCCACGGTTGACGGTGAGGTGCACGCAGATGGGCAACATTCCACGGTTGGCTGTTAAGTGAATCATGCTGTCACACACTTGACGTACAATGTTCAAACGTCTAAGAGTCTTGACTATTCGAACGCGCTACCGAAGATGCTTGCTCCCGCCTCGTACAAATCTGTGTAATAGTCTATATAATTACGGTTACAACAAACGTGCGCCGCATTAGAAACCAAAATCGCACCGCGCTAGAATCTAACAAAAACATCCGCGCCAAAAAAAAACACTGAACGCCATATGTTGAAACTTACCGATTCATTTTTTTTTCAACGGAGACGGCGATCGTGATTTGCGGGTGCCCACCGTTGGGCAACGAAATCTGGCTACTTTGAGGCTGGTGCCGCCAGTATTCGGTTTCTGACGCGGAGAGATCGTCAGATCAAGGTCATGATGCAAATTTTCCACGTCAAAACTGTCTTCCCCAACGACCTATTGCAAACAAATCAATAATGATCATATCTGTGTTTGATACTTTGATATTGAAATATTCAGTATTTGATATTTGAGTTATGTGTACCGGCCACCAAACTTCGTGATTGTCAATCTTTCCTTTGTTTCGGTGGCTGCTGCACTGATGGCTTGCCAGTTTTGCTTGATATCCTTCACTTTTCGGCCCTGAACATTTGCCGCCAGTCTCCACTTTAATGATCCGCGAAATAGTATTCACTAGAATTAGTCGGCTCAATCTATTGGTCAAAACGGCAATCAGCTCCATTACAGTTGATCTCTAGTGTCTTCCTGCATAAAAAAGGGTTGCAGTTAGCTGTACTACTTTTAAAATATTGTTAAAATACTTTTAAAATTTATATGGCGTGGATATTTACTCTGTAGACGATGTGATTGTCAAACGCCAAAATTACTTACATAGTGCATCCGATTAAATCTGCATTGCTTTCAAAACTTTTGTCTTGTATTTCTTAACGACAAGTCAAAAAATCTTAATCTACCGATATTTTGGTAAAAATTCAACTTTACCTTGATTGGTTTAGTAGGCAACGCAGATAAGTATGTACGAGTATGTATCCGTAATGAATAGCGTGATCGAAAGTTTTTGCGGTAAGAGAGGCTTTTTGAGCAGATGTTTATGCGTGACCCCTAAGACTGATGGGGTCTTCCTACAGTGCAGTCACCTTTAGCGCACCTTCAGTAAGATGCACATTACTTGCTGACAGTATTACTCATACTCGTACAAGAAGCCGTCATTTGCCGCTCTTGATGATTTATCATCTGCCGACAGGGAAGTTCTGTAAAGTTTGTAGATATGCACTGCCGCTGTTAGATTTGCTCAAAAATACGTGCCCCTTTTGAACAATCAGAATATGCAGAAGATTGCCGTGACTGTATCCACTATCCACGAACACGGTAAGTGTATTCGCCACACAGAACATCAACAGCAAAACGGTTATAAACCGGTGACGAGCGGGGCTTTTAAAGTTTTTGGCAGCCAGATTTCTCCGTTGCGGCTGCGCGCATGCTGCATCATTATTAAGTGGGAAATTATTTAAAGTCCGAGAATCAGACGGCTAGTGCACGGCACATCAGTGCGCGCGTTCTTTGCAGTGCAGTTTAATGAAATTTTCTGTACAAGAAAGGACATTGCGGAGAATATGGATGAGCCAACCGATTTCAGCAATACCGCAGTGAAGTATTGTCTACGGATGCATAAAATATCAATAGATCTTTCAGCATTTACCGCTGCTGATTCTGGAGTCAGTATTACGCAGCTGCATCGTACACGTTCGTTCGTATAATTATGATGCTGTACAAGTATTGGTAATTTCTTGATTTGTACAATTTCCGTTTTTCCAGCGATACTACTCCAGGATGTACGTATGGCGATTAGTTGCGGCGCCGTGCATGCTTATTACAGAACAGAGAGAATATGCCGATGGGATCGATGCTCCAACCAGTCTGCTGACTGTGCTGAGATTCCTGTTTAATTAAACGCAAAGTTTAGCGTTATCAAGTATGTGGACAAGTATTTTGTACCCTCTAAATTGCAGTGCATTGTATATCTATATTATACATATATAAGGGGCGAAAGTAAACGCGTTCCACCGTTCCCCTGTACTGCTGCCGTCACCCGCCTGGAGTGTGACGTTACGGCAATACATGTGGTTAAATCTGGCGCGGTACATAAGCGCCATGTTCAGCCACAACGTCAAACTCCAGTCGGGTGACGGCAGCAGTACAGGGGAACGGTGGAACACGTTTACTTTTGCCCCCTATATATCTACAATCTATACATATATTCTGTTGTACGTTGTACCGTAATAAGGATTCGCAGGCGCAGTACATACACAGTGCACAACTGCATAATATTCAATCAATACCGGCACGGGTATTACCATTGGCCAGTCGACAACAACAAGCAGGAACAACCGAATAAGCGCCTTATAAAGCAGAGCATGCATCAATTCAGCACGCGTGTGTACTGCGTACAGACAGTGTGCTGTTATCGATCTCTTTTGCATGAAACTTTAATGTGAAAGACTCTTCCCTGAATGGAAGAGATACATAACTGATAATGGTATACTGCAACGGAGCCAGCATTCTCCAACATCGGTAGTTCACAGTCACTGATTAATTTTGTCAACCTGGTACAATACCGTACGTACAACGCTGTCACTAAACCCTGACATTCTTGCCTTTCATTCTTTTATTATAATGAAAATAATATTCATAATGTAGACTTTGGCGATAGATCTCGGTCTCGGACGATAGATCTCGGATGCTAAAGAATTATACGAAACGTTGCTCATAGCGCTATCTGCCTAACCTCAGACGTCGCTACTACGGGATGAGAAGGTTGACAAACAGCCCAACAACGTTGGCTGAAATCGGAGAACTAAAGGATTGTACAAATCGTTCACGAAAACTTCGTTCCATCCGGAAGGATCATCATCCGGAGGCATCATGGAAAATTTTTTATCGGCGCGCATTGGCAGAGATCCTCTCATCACTGGCGTTTACGAACGTTTTGCTGTCGATATACTGGATGAGAATGTCACTTATCGTGGGTACGTTTGTGCAGTCGATGATGACCACTGTATGGTGCGAATTGGCTCGATGCAGGAACTGCGACGTGTCGCTATGGATAAACTGCATCTAATGGATTATCGCGAATGCAAACGTATACATCCTCACACTGTACCGGAGGAAATTGACGTACTGGTCAGTGTTGATGACAATCAGCCAGAATCGTGGCAGCCAGCTAGTATTATAGGCGGCAAATTAATACAGACGTTCTCGTTGGTACATGCAGAAGTGAGCCTGCCGGGTAATGCGCCCAGACAATTCTGTGTCCTTGATTCTTCCGGTGCCGCTTTTAAACGGATTCGCCGCCGCGGTTATCTTGGAAATCGCGTTACTCCGCAGTCGTTTGTTAATCAGCAGATCCCGGTTTCAAAGTTTACTTCGTATTGTACACACTTCGCTGATACTCTGCAAAAAGTTCGAGAAATGCCACGATTTCACAGCCGCTTCATGCAAGAGACTTATGGCATTATGTTCCTGGGTGCGACGGATGATCACATTGATCTGTTGGTCGAGGAGAAATACAATCAGAATGATGGCGTTATTCTTTTGGTGGAAGGAAAACCCAGTTACAAGCTACCGGACCACATAATGTATGAGCGCATAGCGAATGCTGTGGATCGGTTTATGATAGACTTCATGCGGGCAACAGACAAAATTGCCAACACCGTTCTGAAAGAGCTTGTCGCTCTAATCGATACGGATCAAGGTACTTATTATGCATCCTAACCGCAATAAAATTAAATTGCTCCAGCAAGTTTAAACATTTCACGGGTTCGGCTATGGTTAACACTGTAACAAGAGACCGGCATGCTCCTCAATACGCAAATTCTGACATCTTTCCGCTGACTGGTATCCGACCAGTGCTGTGCAGCAATGTGCACTATGGCGCATGTGTCATCATTCATAGAGATAAGCACGGGTATTTTTAAAAAACTGCGCTATCTTGAATACGTGCCATATGGTTTTTTTGACCATTCGGAGCGCAGATAAGCTCCGGATTGTGATGACACACGTTACCAGTTGTTATCTACTGCGCGTTATGTACAAAAAAAACAACTGGGGTTTTTATAAGAAACAACTCTGTATCTTTATACGGCGTGAACAGAATCTGGCACTGAACTACTGTAGTATGCGAGGGATGCGTAAAGAATAAAAAACTTGGACCTTTAAGGATAAGTGCAGTTACAACAACGAAGTGAGGGCGTCCGTATAAAGCGATAGCCAATTCGGTAGTCAATTTGCAATTTAAATTTTATTACGCACGAGATCGTGCGCACATATGTTATGATTACAATGTAATGCTCCAGGCTTAAGGCTGTATTGTAATGTTTCAGACTTGAACAAATCTCACGAATTCCATTTTGATGATGTACTTATGGAGCTGAGCACGGAAGTATTTTCTTTTATGGACGTGTATGACCAGCATCAACTCCGCAGGTAGGGATGCGGCTTTTTCTGACATGAAGGATCGCATACGCAAAGTGGGTTCTTAAATTGACACGCATGAGAATAACCGTTGCTGTCGTTTTGACTGGGGCTGAACGGAAATAGGCGAGGGCTGTAAGTTTACGTGAGTTCGGTAACCCATATTCTGACTATGACAGATTGTCAGCGTGTCAGACAGGTCGGAAAATCAGCTATCACTATTCACTAACACATACACATTTCGGCATTCATAAACTGTACTTAGCATTAACTGACAACCAAGCGATTGTCAACAACGATAAAAATAATCAAATTCAAAAGTTCTTTCCCTAATTATCTAAGAATTTCTGGTTTTCCATTATTTCGGCGTTTCCCAAAAATTGCCCACTAGTTACCGGCAGTGCCAGTATTCACCACCCGCGCTATGCCCACCCGCGCAATTTGCCCACCCGCGCTATGCCCGCAGCAGTTCTTTACTTAACAGCAGCAATTTTTTAACATACCAGATGGGGAGTGCATAAAGCATAAAAATAAAGTTGAAACTGATGTCCGTTGGAATAGAATAAGTATTTGCTTTTCAGGAGATCACCTGGTTACTGGTTAAACTGAACATCACACAAATTCAATACCAAGTCATCTAGCAGTGGTTGTCAAATTTATATACGGTAATTATAATTTACCCGTTACAGCAATTTCACCATACCAAGCATCAATCACCCTCCAAAACCATCAATAACTGCTTGCGGGGCTCATTTTAAAAAAACCCGGCCAGAACGTTTTGGTTTACTTTAAAACCGCTCCGACTCAATTAGCAGAAGAAGATGTGCAAAAACTGTAGTAAAGTTGCTTCTCTATTATTTTCCACTTGAGCGTCACCATTTTACACCATGCATCGTAGATCAAAATTAATACAATACAGGGCGCAAATACAACACATGTATTTAGTTCTGGGTCCCCAGCCATGCTCAGTGACCAAGCGAACAAATAGGTCGAGTAAATGGCACTTGGAGCGAAATGGTTTAGGCCAGGGGTAGAAGGGGCAGTTTAACCTCAACTCTGGCAGCAGATTAGAAGGAATCCTTAAACAACTGTAACGCTGCTGCGTGATAGATTTTCGCTTGACCGTAAAAATGTGCAGTGGGCGTAAGTGGCTCTAGCACACCGAAAAAACCATTTTGAGGGTCCAGGTTAGAGCAAGAGAATTCCCAGTTTTCCTTTGCTCGTGATACTTTGAATAAGCTTTTTATTTTTTTAGAACGTCCAAATTTTTCCATCAACGGTTATTCTGTAAAGCACTTCGGCGGTGCGTGATGTTGCCAAACCAACATAAACATTCCATTGAAAGTTTGAGGGTCGGCCCATCCGGCTCTGGTTACCGGGACTTGGCATATGTCATCGGGAGCACAATTAGCCAAGATGCCAGGATTTTGTATTTCATCGATGACTGGGAAGAATGCTTGTTCACCCTTGTGAAAGTCCTAAAGGTCATGGACGTGCAACTCGACTGGCTGGTTATCGCCAACAACTCCAGACTTTTGCTCAACGAATTTTTGCGATTTCCCAAACCCTTTCCCATGGTGTATACATATGATTTCGTTACTATGTACGGAAATTATCTCCATGCAAATCAGACAGATATTTATAAGGATTACGCTTGCATTTGCCAACATCTAGCCTTGAAGAACTGCTGTTTCAGTAGCAAGTTATCGATATGCTTCAGAGAAGTGTTGTGGCTAGACGATGAGCTACTGCATCGGGTTAGGGGCCCTGGACGATGGAATTTAAGATGTTGCCGTGATCCGTTTTTTATTGCGATCCCACGATGGTTACACAGTTTTTCGGAATCTGCGGCACAAATATACGAGGCTTCCTTCCGGTCTGCACTAGAAGACCATTGTCCAATGCTAACAGAACGCGCAATGGATAACCTTTTCCACTGGCTGAATTCTTTGACAAGCGAGGCTTGTGAACCAAAAGGTTGCATTTGGCCGTTTATTACGCTCTCCTACGAACTGTACGCATCGAGCAGCAAACATAAGCAAAAATGGCAAACTAAGTGGATTTAACTTTGCAGGTGGAACGAAAAGCCACCCAAGCATTTGGACGACATTGTAGCCGATATATCTCGTAAGTATTCGCCAAAGAGCTGCATTTTGCAGACAATGGCCTTGCTACTGCCGTGTATTAGCGGCAGTTTTTGCTGTTTTGCTTATGTAGTCGATGGAGAAGCATTACAAGGTCCAAGGTAAAATGGCTTGAAATGCCTGAATGCAGACTAATTTTACCGACCTTTTTAACTACCGCGCTTGGTTGTTTGTGCGATGCTTTTTACATTTGTATGATATTCTTAAACAGCCAATTCGGAACTCAAATACACATGCAAAACCAGTCAAGACTATAAGGAACAGTAACCTCCAAATAGTCAAGAGCGCTCGCCTTATTCAAGTCAGTCTAACGAAAACTGCGTACTGCAAAATTGCTGCAGCCGTTAATTACTATTAAACACCTTTAAATTTTATGTTATTTATTTATCTGTTATGTTATTGCACCAAGTCTTCGAGGTTATCGATCATAAAAGCAGTCTGTCCGGGCCCACTAAATTCGACACCGTGCACCCAGTGGACTTAAAAATATATATTTCTACATATGGCAGTGAATACTCGAAAACTTGATCGCGCACTGCATATTTAATTATTCGGAATGGCTATTTTGCCGCAGTCTTTGCGATAAATTAGCCAGTTATTTATTTTGCCGCCTATTGTTCCTACCGCAGCAAAACAGCCTTAGCCGGAATCATTATGATTCCAATTTCCAAGGTAAAGTAGGTATCAGACAATAATAACGCTTGCAGACAGAGTATGCGCCTATGCGGTAACTGTATCCCACTGACTGCGGGTCATTTTCCCGAGCCGAACTGCAAATTCGTTTCTCGCACGGCAGTCTGAATACTTTCTGTGTAGTTTTATATTAACGTTAGCGCCAGATAGCTATGACATCGGTTTGCAAACAAAACGCTATAAGTATGCGCCACATCATCATCACAAAATGCCAATTTGAGGCATTGTCCGATAAAAAGCATTTGCAGTTGGATGTGTACGAGTATGTCTGTAGACTGTACGATCTACACAATAACAAGAAAAAACAGAATAAATTCTGCGCGGCTTTCTATCCCGGAACCATGCTCGACAGCTTGCTAGTTCATGGTAAACTATTCAAAGTTCACTTACGATTTGCCTAACACACTTGTGCAATATGTTTGTTATCGATTTTGCCGTTTAATTCAAGTTAATGTGCATACTGCTCGTATCTTTCTCCGGAAAGGAGAGTGCCCTGTGGGAAAGTGGAAGTTCTCGAATAGGGAGGGGCATCGGCTGCGCACCTGTGCGTGGGCGTTTGCCGGTTACCAGCCCTGCACCTATAACACCTTATTTGGCGTCGGACAAAATAATACAGAAAAGTAGTCGGGTGTGGCGGGTGGACAAGAAAGTCTGTATGTGACTGCTAGCTTTGCAAAACAGAAATGAACTGCGATGTGAGCAGCGATGAACTCTGGAAAGCATCGAAGCCGTGCTGGCGCTGTATAATAACGTAGTGGGCGGTATGGAGCACGTAGCACAATACTTGTGCGCCACATTGCCATTAATAACAATTAAGCATGTTAAATTGGACATCACTTAGCCTAATTCTCGGTTACTTAACATAACACAGCGTACTTCATACTGATTCTTGAACTTTAATGATTCACGACTTGAGAGGCCGCCAAACAGCCAACAGAAACATGTAACATACACTATTCTGTTTTATGAAGATCATACAGTTCTCCCTTGAGCCGGTTCTGACTACTGTTCGGCAGGAGAGGAGGCGTTGTTCCGGTGCGCCAATCAAAATCTAGTTCCCGCTCTGAAACACCTCCCTCCACCTACAGAAGACAAACACAATCATACATGCATGCGCTAAGTTAACAAACGAAATATTTTTTTTAGTTTCTTGTAAAATGGACTTATGTATTTGTTCTACTCACAATCTCTTATAAATTTAGTGGTGTAATATGACACTCGTACGCATATATTTTGGTTCTTCGCTGTATAGTGCAAATTACAGTAGAACGATAAACTAATTCCGCTGACAGACGCAGTGGTTAAGTCCCAGTTACTAAATAATAAACAAATATCAAGTCGAGATTCTCGTTTGTGCAGTGCACTTTGTTAATCTTTGTGCTGGTGGTAATACATTTTATCTCGCACGGTACATGAGTAGAACTCCGAACCAACAAAATTATGACGCATGCAAGCGTACTAATACGCTGCGTAAAAATGAAGAGCAGGAGTATTTATAGCAGCGCAGTACTACCTAGTTGGTGTCCTGCGTCAGCTAACTCATTTTGAAGATTATTTGAAGTAACACTAATTGCGTGGCAAATAAATACGTTGTGTATTTAGTGACTTTGCTATATTACTATACTCGTATGTTCCTCACAGCCTACCCTGGCGATCCAGACCGGTGGGCCATTTGGTCCGGCTGGCTCTTCTTCCATTTTTTTGCATTCCGCTGAGATCTCTCTCATGCGCTCCGCGGAATAGCGGCAGATGTCGTTAACCTTATCTTTGTCCCAATCCATATATTTTTCAGTGTGGCCTTTCGAAGGGAGCAATTCGTCGAGCCGATGTTTACCAGCAGCTCTCATATCCAGGCTGGAAACAAAACACATGCACTGAGTAACGATCTCGGCATTCTGCACTACTTTCTACACGAAAATGGAATACGTGACCAACGGCTGCGCTCTGGTCTGCCAATGCACCTCAAAAGCTAGCATGCATTTTACTAGTTATATTTTGTTTTAATGCTTCTACACTCAGTAGTCGCATAAAGTCGAGAAGCGCCAATGAAAGGCATAAATCCTGTAGGTTTTTCCTACAACGGCCGAAGCACGCCAGAATGTTTTCTGCTGGGTACTGAGATAAGACAACTGGAAGTGACATTTACGGATCAACCAGGCATCAAAGCTGTCACGCGTTCAAGTACAGCAGGAAAGCAATATCAAAGTGAACAATACAAATTATGTACATACGTACTCCCGCAGTAACTACTCTGTACTGTAAACCAAAAACCAGAAAAACTAAATGCAACCGGATAGATTGTCACCAAAGGAGCATTATTACAAACAAACATTAGTAAATAACTAGGCGCTTTTTATTAGCTGTAAGGTTCTTACTGTTCTTTCAGCGGCTTTTTGAATGCTTCGACTTTCTCCTGACTGCGGTGGCCGAAAAGAATGAAGTGCATTTTGTGCGAAGCAACCATCATGTTGCAATCGTAATAATCGCCTTTCATGTTGTGCTGGCGCATAAGGTCCGTCAACGCCTTGGTTGGCTTGACTGAAAGAAAGGAGATGTAATTATTCCAGTAATACGAGTTTTCGTTTTGAGCAGGATGTTTTAACTGCGCTTACATCTCACAAACAACATTTTATTTTTGATGTATTATACGACAAAGTGTTTAACTTAATTTGGCATCTTAGTAATATCTAGCGGGTCATGATTGTTGATTAATGTAAAATTTCTCTGGAAATAGCAGTGTATTTTCATCATTCCTAAGGTACCTAGGCAAGAATTATTTTTTCCCCGTACTTACATCCATGGGCTTCGTGCTGATCGAAAATGAATTCCATCTCAAAGTAAAATCCGTCAACTGGTCGAGGCGTGGTGGAGGATGCCATTTTCTGCAAAAAAACATGAAGCTTTATTAGTCGGCTTTCAACATCTTGCAATGCTAGCTCTGCGTTTGTTTCTCTGCCTTCTTTTCTCGTTCTGTTCTTGTTTCAATCTACTGCTAGTTTACCCTGCTTAACACTTTAACCGAAAGTTACACCAAAGATATATTTACGATTCCGAGTTTAATTTGACCGCTTAGAAGTCTACGTACGATTTTCTTTATTAACGCCGACTCAAATGGATCTGGTTCGCACATTGACCTTTCAGATACGATCAGTCTATTACGTTATGTTATTAGAAAACCGTTTCCATCTAGCTAGCTTTAATGCCAACTTAAACCACTTTTTGCATTCGAGAACATTAAAACCTTGGAATAATTTCCTTATGGTTTTATGCTACTGTAGCCGCGGAATTTCAGGCGAATAATTTGGTGGTTTTACAAAGAGATAAGCTGGATAATGAATCAATTCTGTATGCTATGAGAAGATATAGCGCTAGTTTACGGTCAACTCGGTTTCGGTCCGGTTCGGCTCGGTTTCGGTCCGGTTTTCAGTCGAACCGGTTTGGAGCCGGTTTGAACCGGTTGTTCCCCTTTCTTTGGTTTATTTTTCCCCACCCTCTTTTTTCTATGAACATGAATGAACATGCATGATACAGACAGTAAAACTAACAGAAGAAAGCCCAGCACTTATGAAAAATGACACCCCGACAAATCGGACACATCAGCAGCCTGCTTGAACATTTCGCACAGCAAACTAAATGACCGCATGGTCTGAACATGATTTCCGAATCACTTTCATAGCATACTTTACAGCGTAATTTCTCTTTGGGGTCTTCGGAAGTTGTAGGTGCTGCAGCTTTTCGCGTTAGTCCACAACATGTTGTTTCGGCTTCTTGGCGTTTTTTACGAACATCGATGATGAATGCTGAGCCCTTTGTTTGTACAAGATACGGACATTTCGGGTAAGTCCAAGCGTGCTCTTCCACGGAACATCATCTTTGTCCCAAGCATAAAGTGCACCACCACAGTGAAAGCAGCGTACACAGTCATCCCGGCCTTCATAATAAAAGCCGGCTGCAGCCATATCCCTGGGATGCTGGTGTTTGTTAACAGGCCATTCAGCATAAGTAGCAAAGCGTGTCTTGTAGTCTTTCATTGCCGGTGAGTGCGGAATGTGTTTTCTTGATTCGGAACCCTCCTTAGCCCTAACACAGTCTGGACGTGCTAAACGGTGTCGGTAGTATGGTTTATACCGTGAGTTCACCCAGTCACCCATAATAAGGCCACAGTATGCGCATTGGATTTCGTCATGCTGCCCTTGATAAAAGAACCCTTGGCTTGCCAGTTCTTCAGGGGCAAGGGACTGATCCGCCCAGTTTTCAAAACTCTCGAAGCGATTGCTCATCTGTGTCATATCCATTTTGGCTACCAACTGAACAACCGAACTGAAATGCTAGGGTTTATATAGTATCTATCAGGCGTGACAACTCAAGGCAAAACCCCTAGTACAGTGCGCTCGCCAGCTATTGGTTCATCACCGTTTAGCCCAACCCCTAGTTATACTGTAAGATTATCGTATGGGTCGGATTCGTTGTCTCCAAGTACAGCATTACTTGGAGTATTAGACTTGAACTATTGGTCACTGTCTTGTGTCTTTGTGGTAGAGGTTTAGCCTGGAACTAATGTTGTGGTATGTTGTACTACTGTTGTACTAATGTTGTACTAGCCAACTGTGTTATGTTGTAGTGGGTGGCGATTTGTATTAAACTACGTTAAACAGAGTGTGTGGTGCCATGTATTAAACTATGCTGACTAGCTTGTTTATAAGCACGAAGAAGCTCTGTCTAGCTTAGTCATTAAATCAAGTTTTTAGTCTATCTGTATTGGTATAATTGTAACAATGATAGGTCCGGCTGTAGAGGTTAACATACTATTACATTTTGTACCCATTCATTAAGTAAAAGAATGTCACAATTAGCTCCGGTTAGCTTTCCACGAATACGGAACTATCGTATTGTTTTATGAGATGAGTGGCATCGTTCTTTGAATATTAAATGCTTTCAATCCGGGTTCAACGTGTTTGTAGTCTGGAGTTTATTGTATATCAAATTATACACTAGCGGTCTATGGGTCAATAAAACAAAAGCCTTTTATGAACATAGATTTCATTAGTATCCGGGTTAATAAGATAGCTAGTGACGTAACACAGTGGTCCGAGCGAAGCGAGAACCTACCTCTCGGTGTGTGCGCGTGAAGCCGATGCCCAATTTCAAGTCTGTGTATTTTAGATGGTTGTTGTATCAGTATGGATGTATTAGTTTAAGCCCGCCCACATGAGTTCTCTCTGATATTAGCGCGTTTCAGTCACTCATTGTTTTGGAACGGTTTTTACTGGTTGATTCCAAACTGAAGTACGACCCCAAAGGTTTCTCTCTGATATTAGCGCGTTTCAGTCACTCATTGTTTTAGGAACGATTTTTACTGGTTGATTGGAAACTGCAGTACGCCCACGTAGGTTTCTCTCTGATATTAGCACGTTCCAGTTACTTTCGGTAATACAAGTAATGGTGGTATTGTTCAGTGAAACGTTACGGTTGGTTACTAGTCTAAACGTCAATTTTAGTCTGGTCAACAGAGTTCAGTTAACGGGTGGCGTAGTACAAGTAATTAAAACAATAGTTAATACGTTGTTTTAAATTTTGAGGTTTGAAACCTACACTTTTTTTGAGTATAAAACCTCAGCGGCCAAGCAAATTTTTTCATTCCAAAGTTTTTTAATCCTATCCACTTACCTTGGAATACCTGCCTGGATCCCCTCATATTTTCAGTTAGTTCAGTTTATCTTTTGCTCCATGGCTCCCTTCAAGTATCTTGCGGATTATCAGGAGTGGTGCCGCCAGCAATGTGGTAAGTCTTATCCATTTTTTTAAAAATCTTTATAATTTTTTAATTTTTTTATTATCGAAATTATCTAATAGTATTGTTCTAAGAGAAAAATATTTGTAGCTATAATCAAGGGGTTGAAAACCCAGTGGGATGGTTTTTCGGAGCAAGAGCAACGGGAGTGTGCCCAGTATAATATCGGTACGTTTTCGTTATTATTTGTTAAAAGGTTTGAACTTTAACAATGAAAATTTAATTTATTAGATCTGTGTGCAAGTGTCAAGAAGTTTGTCGAAAGCTGTAGATGGAGTAAGCCGGGAAAGGAGGTAGACCGTTTGCAACATGCGGTCAACCGGTTGGAGGTATATTGATTTTTATTTAATTTCACAAAAATAATGTTACATCTGTATAATGTGTTTAGTGGTCGGTTGCCTTCTTGAGTTGTGACATTGTTCCCGATCCGCGTCGTACCAACTTACAACTGGATACGGTCCCCATCATAATGGCAGGCAGTGTGGAGCGTGACCGAAAGAAGAAAGAGAAGCTGAAGGCCAAGTCTTCATCATCAGTGAAGCCATCCACTTCCAAGGCCAAGCCGAAGAAGAAGAAGCAGAACCCAGCTAAGCGTGTAATCCAATCACCAACACCCTCTCCACCGTCAAGCCGTTCTCCAACCCCGGACTTTGGCGGTTACGATTTCACCCGGCAGCGGGAGCCCACCCCCCAACCATCGCCACATGTCTTCTCTGAGCCAGCTCAGCCTACTCCACCTTTGCCGGCGGCTGTCATCACTGAGCCACCTCAGCCTACTCCACCATTGGCAGTGTCTGTCATCACTGAGCAACCTCAGCCTACTCCACCATTGCCAGCGGCTGTCATCACTGAGCAACCTCAGCCTACTCCACCATTGGCAGTGTCTGTCACTGCTGACCATCCGGCTACTATGCATATGGAGTTTCCTGTTAGCCAGACCGCCATTGTTTCCAAGGGTATTATTACATTCCAGGCAACGTTCGCTGACGGTACGACCATTGAAGACACACTACCTGTCCCTCCCACTATTCCTACTCCACCGTCTTCACACTTCAAGGTGCCTTTGCCTATGAATAACGGAATTCTCATCCCGCAGAAGTTTACTTTCCCGAATACTCAAACCGTGATTACCGTGAAAGACGATCCACTTGGCAGTGCCGAAAATCCTATCATCATTGAAGACAAAGAAGAGCCGCCCGTCATTACTTTGGATGACTCTGACAGTTCGGACGACGAAGGTATGAGAACGCTTTGCTTTGAGTCGGATAATGGGGGTGGAGCGGTCGTTTTGGACGGAGGCCAGGATACCGACATGGAGGACAATGATGAAGACGGCGGTAATGAAATGGACGACGGATTCTTAGGAGACATGGACGAAGATGATTTCGAGCCGCCATTTACGTCTACTCAGTATTCATTGGACAACAATGCAATGGAGGACACAGCTGGTATGACGGCAGTGGAGGGCTGGTTGAACGCATTTGGTTATTACTTAGACTGATGAATTGTTTTCTCTTCTTTATGCTGTTAACTAAGCTAAACCATTTTGCTAATGATGCTTTTATGCAACTTGCGGTTGATGGGTACAATGTTGTTAAGAATATGTTAACAATAACAATATGTCTAACAATAACTTCTTGATGTGAACTCTGAATGAAATCAGTTGTCGGTCTATTAAACTGTTTGTTTAAAAAAAAAAAAAGAGATATGCGGGTTTAATGACTTGTCGCAGCAACACAAAAAAGCGCTTTAGAATGAAGTGCAACATAGGTCCATTATAAAGCGCCCTCGAGGCGCGCGCGCGCAAAGCCAAAGCCGCGGCCGAGCGCAGCGAGGCCAGGCTGAGCGAGGCCGATCAACCAGTAAAAACCGTTCCAAAAACAATGAGTGACTGAAACGCGCTAATATCAGAGAGAACTCATGTGGGCGGGCTTAAACTAATACATCCATACTGATACAACAACCATCTAAAATACACAGACTTGAAATTGGGCATCGGCTTCACGCGCACACACCGAGAGGGCGCGCGTGGTCCTCGCTTCGCTCGGACCACTGTGTTACGTCACTAGCTATCTTATTAACCCGGATACTAATGAAATCTATGTTCATAAAAGGCTTTTGTTTTATTGACCCATAGACCGCTAGTGTATAATTTGATATACAATAAACTCCAGACTACAAACACGTTGAACCCGGATTGAAAGCATTTAATATTCAAAGAACGATGCCACTCATCTCATAAAACAATACGATAGTTCCGTATTCGTGGAAAGCTAACCGAATAATTGTGACATTCTTTTACTTAATGAATTATTTCACTGAACAATACCACCATTACTTGTATTACCGAAAGTAACTGGAACGTGCTAATATCAGAGAGAAACCTACGTGGGCGTACTGCAGTTTCCAATCAACCAGTAAAAATCGTTCCTAAAACAATGAGTGACTGAAACGCGCTAATATCAGAGAGAAACCTTTGGGGTCGTACTTCAGTTTGGAATCAACCAGTAAAAACCGTTCCAAAAACAATGAGTGACTGAAACGCGCTAATATCAGAGAGAACTCATGTGGGCGGGCTTAAACTAATACATCCATACTGATACAACAACCATCTAAAATACACAGACTTGAAATTGGGCATCGGCTTCACGCGCACACACCGAGAGGGCGCGCGTGGTCCTCGCTTCGCTCGGACCACTGTGTTACGTCACTAGCTATCTTATTAACCCGGATACTAATGAAATCTATGTTCATAAAAGGCTTTTGTTTTATTGACCCATAGACCGCTAGTGTATAATTTGATATACAATAAACTCCAGACTACAAACACGTTGAACCCGGATTGAAAGCATTTAATATTCAAAGAACGATGCCACTCATCTCATAAAACAATACGATAGTTCCGTATTCGTGGAAAGCTAACCGGAGCTAATTGTGACATTCTTTTACTTAATGAATTATTTCACTGAACAATACCACCATTACTTGTATTACCGAAAGTAACTGGAACGTGCTAATATCAGAGAGAAACCTACGTGGGCGTACTGCAGTTTCCAATCAACCAGTAAAAATCGTTCCTAAAACAATGAGTGACTGAAACGCGCTAATATCAGAGAGAAACCTTTGGGGTCGTACTTCAGTTTGGAATCAACCAGTAAAAACCGTTCCAAAAAACAATGAGTGACTGAAACGCGCTAATATCAGAGAGAACTCATGTGGGCGGGCTTAAACTAATACATCCATACTGATACAACAACCATCTAAAATACACAGACTTGAAATTGGGCATCGGCTTCACGCGCACACACCGAGAGGGCGCGCGTGGTCCTCCTTCGCTCGGACCACTGTGTTACGTCACTAGCTATCTTATTAACCCGGATACTAATGAAATCTATGTTCATAAAAGGCTTTTGTTTTATTGACCCATAGACCGCTAGTGTATAATTTGATATACAATAAACTCCAGACTACAAACACGTTGAACCCGGATTGAAAGCATTTAATATTCAAAGAACGATGCCACTCATCTCATAAAACAATACGATAGTTCCGTATTCGTGGAAAGCTAACCGGAGCTAATTGTGACATTCTTTTACTTAATGAATTATTTCACTGAACAATACCACCATTACTTGTATTACCGAAAGTAACTGGAACGTGCTAATATCAGAGAGAAACCTACGTGGGCGTACTGCAGTTTCCAATCAACCAGTAAAAATCGTTCCTAAAACAATGAGTGACTGAAACGCGCTAATATCAGAGAGAAACCTTTGGGGTCGTACTTCAGTTTGGAATCAACCAGTAAAAACCGTTCCAAAAACAATGAGTGACTGAAACGCGCTAATATCAGAGAGAACTCATGTGGGCGGGCTTAAACTAATACATCCATACTGATACAACAACCATCTAAAATACACAGACTTGAAATTGGGCATCGGCTTCACGCGCACACACCGAGAGGGCGCGCGTGGTCCTCGCTTCGCTCGGACCACTGTGTTACGTCACTAGCTATCTTATTAACCCGGATACTAATGAAATCTATGTTCATAAAAGGCTTTTGTTTTATTGACCCATAGACCGCTAGTGTATAATTTGATATACAATAAACTCCAGACTACAAACACGTTGAACCCGGATTGAAAGCATTTAATATTCAAAGAACGATGCCACTCATCTCATAAAACAATACGATAGTTCCGTATTCGTGGAAAGCTAACCGGAGCTAATTGTGACATTCTTTTACTTAATGAATTATTTCACTGAACAATACCACCATTACTTGTATTACCGAAAGTAACTGGAACGTGCTAATATCAGAGAGAAACCTACGTGGGCGTACTGCAGTTTCCAATCAACCAGTAAAAATCGTTCCTAAAACAATGAGTGACTGAAACGCGCTAATATCAGAGAGAAACCTTTGGGGTCGTACTTCAGTTTGGAATCAACCAGTAAAAACCGTTCCAAAAACAATGAGTGACTGAAACGCGCTAATATCAGAGAGAACTCATGTGGGCGGGCTTAAACTAATACATCCATACTGATACAACAACCATCTAAAATACACAGACTTGAAATTGGGCATCGGCTTCACGCGCACACACCGAGAGGGCGCGCGTGGTCCTCACTTCGCTCGGACCACTGTGTTACGTCACTAGCTATCTTATTAACCCGGATACTAATGAAATCTATGTTCATAAAAGGCTTTTGTTTTATTGACCCATAGACCGCTAGTGTATAATTTGATATACAATAAACTCCAGACTACAAACACGTTGAACCCGGATTGAAAGCATTTAATATTCAAAGAACGATGCCACTCATCTCATAAAACAATACGATAGTTCCGTATTCGTGGAAAGCTAACCGGAGCTAATTGTGACATTCTTTTACTTAATGAATTATTTCACTGAACAATACCACCATTACTTGTATTACCGAAAGTAACTGGAACGTGCTAATATCAGAGAAACCTACGTGGGCGTACTGCAGTTTCAATCAACCAGTAAAAATCGTTCCTAAAACAATGAGTGACTGAAACGCGCTAATATCAGAGAGAAACCTTTGGGGTCGTACTTCAGTTTGGAATCAACCAGTAAAAACCGTTCCAAAAACAATGAGTGACTGAAACGCGCTAATATCAGAGAGAACTCATGTGGGCGGGCTTAAACTAATACATCCATACTGATACAACAACCATCTAAAATACACAGACTTGAAATTGGGCATCGGCTTCACGCGCACACACCGAGAGGGCGCGCGTGGTCTCGCTTCGCTCGGACCACTGTGTTACGTCACTAGCTATCTTATTAACCCGGATACTAATGAAATCTATGTTCATAAAAGGCTTTTGTTTTATTGACCCATAGACCGCTAGTGTATAATTTGATATACAATAAACTCAGACTACAAACACGTTGAACCCGGATTGAAAGCATTTAATATTCAAAGAACGATGCCACTCATCTCATAAAACAATACGATATTTCCGTAATTCTTGGAAAGCTAACCAGACTAATTGTGACGTTTAGACTAGTAACCAACCGTAACGTTTCACTGAACAATACCACCATTACTTGTATTACCGAAAGTAACTGGAACGTGCTAATATCAGAGAGAAACCTACGTGGGCGTACTGCAGTTTCCAATCAACCAGTAAAAATCGTTCCTAAAACAATGAGTGACTGAAACGCGCTAATATCAGAGAGAAACCTTTGGGGTCGTACTTCAGTTTGGAATCAACCAGTAAAAACCGTTCCAAAAACAATGAGTGACTGAAACGCGCTAATATCAGAGAGAACTCATGTGGGCGGGCTTAAACTAATACATCCATACTGATACAACAACCATCTAAAATACACAGACTTGAAATTGGGCATCGGCTTCACGCGCACACACCGAGAGGGCGCGCGTGGTCCTCGCTTCGCTCGGACCACTGTGTTACGTCACTAGCTATCTTATTAACCCGGATACTAATGAAATCTATGTTCATAAAAGGCTTTTGTTTTATTGACCCATAGACCGCTAGTGTATAATTTGATATACAATAAACTCCAGACTACAAACACGTTGAACCCGGATTGAAAGCATTTAATATTCAAAGAACGATGCCACTCATCTCATAAAACAATACGATAGTTCCGTATTCGTGGAAAGCTAACCGGAGCTAATTGTGACATTCTTTTACTTAATGAATGGGTACAAAATGTAATAGTATGTTAACCTCTACAGCCGGACCTATCATTGTTACAATTATACCAATACAGATAGACTAAAAACTTGATTTAATGACTAAGCTAGACAGAGCTTCTTCGTGCTTATAAACAAGCTAGTCAGCATAGTTTAATACATGGCACCACACACTCTGTTTAACGTAGTTTAATACAAATCGCCACCCACTACAACATAACACAGTTGGCTAGTACAACATTAGTACAACAGTAGTACAACATACCACAACATTAGTTCCAGGCTAAACCTCTACCACAAAGACACAAGACAGTGACCAATAGTTCAAGTCCTGGATTCCTAACAAGCAAAACAATTTTTAAAAAACAAGAAATATTAAAAATTAGGCAAATTGCAAGTTAATTATAGCGGCGACGGCGAGGGTCTGATTCATTTGGCGAATCGGTGGAGCGCTTTCGCGTAGTCGGCTGGCTGTAAATTTCCTCCGGATAATGGTCCCGGGGTGAGTTAGCGATGCGGTTGATCTGGTCAAGGATGAAAGGCTGGGAAAGAAGGCTATTGATTCTTTCAACGGCGGTCTGGTCGTCTGGTGAATAGTCTTGTACTGGCGTTGATGCGCGAGGAGGCGTTGAATGGAACGGTGTTGGCGGGCGGCGGCGGCGTTGCGGTGCATTCACAAAGCGTGGTCGGCATGGATTGCGTGTCGGTGTAGTAAAAGCATCAGACGTGGAAGGCATTGTGGGTGACGGTGGAGTTGAAGAGCGGCGGCGTCCACCTCGTGGCGCATCCAAAAGACGTGAGCGGTATGGACTGCTGGCAGAAGATGGTGACGTCAAGCGAATCAAATTGAAAGGCTGTGTGCGAGTCGGTGAAGGCATTCGATCCCGGGCAACGCGGGCAACATTCCAACGAGAGGTATGTGCTGGCTCCGTAAGGTAATGGCTCAAAGTTGACATGTCAGGAGAAGCGGGACTGTACTCCACCATCTGGGTCGGTTCCGGTGTGCGAGAACGTTGTGGCAGGGAAAATGCTAGCTCTTGCTCGTGGTCGTCAGGCAACGGAGAGTAGACGTTCTCGTAAGCGGCAGTATAGACGAAGCCGTCGTTGATTGGAGTGTAGATGTGGCGGGTGTTGTCTGGAGGATAGTCGTTGGCTGGAGTGTAGAAGCCAGTAGGTGGTTGTGGTGGTGGTGGATTTGGCGGTGCGTAAAGCTGCAAGGTGGGTAAGGTATTCTCACCAATGTACGGCACGGTGCCGGTCACGCCAAACTGGTAGACTGAATTGTAGGCGGCGCAAGGGCCATACGGACCAACCAAAGAAATAAGACGGGCGTCATGGAAAAACTGAATGTCTCCCTATAAATGGTAGAAAACTATACTATAGAAAGAATGCGTCTAATATATTTTTGCTAACAAAATATATCACTTCTTTGAAGACGGGGCAATAAACTAAACCAAAACTATCGTGGAACTTACCAAAATCATATTAGCCAGATGGATAGCATGCACCCAGGCATCCGGAAGATTATCCATGGCGCTTACGTTTGGACGTCGGGCCAGCATATCACGGCGTATACGGGTAGCAATTTCTGTTTAATTTAATTTTGTTGCAATAATAGACAAAAAAATCAATTGGAAAATTATCTTACCGAATGCTCTATTGGAGATGGCAGCCAGCTCTGCAGTCGTTGGCGTGCGAGTGAACACATGAAAAAACTGGTCGATCTCCAGGCAAGCGTTAGCAAACGGGCAACCAGGATCCACCAAGTTGTATGGGCGATACACGCCATCGGAGGAAGTGGATGATGCGTAGGACAATGAGGATGAAGAAGATCCGGTAGATGCTACTGAATCTGCTCGGGAAGACATTATGTAAAGGTCACTCGTTAACTCAAGCTTACTAAATCTACAGTGCTGTTATAAGGTAACAGTAAAAGATCCAAGAAGCGTCCAAAAACTACTGCTCAAGCAACTGATGGTTTAACTGTGGCTGCAGTTGGTTTATATTAGCAAAAATTTGGTTTCCAGATTTTTCACCGTACTTGCCTTTTGTTTCCTTACAGTCGGTCTGGTTAAGGCTCTTTCTCCTTCGTAAGACTAAACCTTACTGTTTCCGTACATACGTGTAAGGGAAAACTTTTAACCATCAAGGCACGAAGCATACGGCTGAGTTTCTTAGTACAAATGTTAAGAGAAAAGACAAGTTTTTGTGGAATTTTGGTATGCGTTGAAGTAAAGGAAAGTTGAGAGGAGACCTATGACAAGAGGTTAGAGCGCAAGCAATAAACAGTAATCCGTCTCGCGACCCGGATAAGAGCCATTATGTTCTTGTTTTTCTGGGTCAAGCGACGATTTGATTTACCCTGCATCCGTATCTTAGATCCTGAATAAGTCGCGTCAGCGACCTGATTTCTATTGTTTGAGAATTTTGGTATAATGGCTGTCGTTCTCCTATCCATTTGCCCTGATGCCTAGCTAATATCCCGGATTTGTCGCGACACTGACTAAGATTGCATTGTGTTGCTACCGACATAATCCTGTTTATCTGGGTTACACGTTCTTTTGATTTGGTCTGGTACCTTGATATTTGGGAGCCGGATTCCGTCGCGACTTCCATTGTTTAAAAAACGGTTTTTCCGGATTCTTACAATAGTTCTCCCTCGGCCCTTTTTACCGAATGGGTCATAAGGAATTTTCCTTGGTAGCTCCACGTATCATACAGCCCAACCCACATCGTTAGAGAACCAGTGTCCACCAGACCAAAAACTCTCTGCTTCGGACCACATCAGTCTGGTCAAGGGTAGTGGGAGTTTACAAATCACCTACAGCCAATGGCTCCGCACCAGGAAAAATGTTGAGTTCCAAGCCAGAGGATATAAGTCGATTTCTCTAGCACAAAATCAAATCATTCGGACAGTTTTCTTTTACACACCACTGGAACTGGATCTTCAGCATCTCCCATGGCTATTCCTGATTTTCCTGACGAGTTTCCACTGCTTGAAGAGTACACCGGTAAGTTCAAACAGTATGCACTGCTAACTTATTTATTTACAAAAGCTGTCAAATTTAATTTTCTAATATTAGCAATGGTGACCTTTCATAGTTAGATTGAGGCTCTTTATAACATGGTTATTACTCGAATGCCAAAAGAAAACCTCGGCTTCTTATAGAGATCGCAAATGAATTGTTTTCGGATTGGTTGGCTCTCAACCACTGCCGCAGAATCCGGCGTTATTCTGGCTACTTCAACCTAGCCTATGCGTTGTGGATTGACCTTGCTCACTACATCCGCCATTATGATGCTCTCGTCTTGTTTCTCCATATCGCTGAATTTCTGGTAAGCATCCACTGTATTTCAGCTGTAAATCTTATTCTTCACCTAAATTTGCACTTCTCAATTCTCCTTTGACTTTGGTTTACGATTTATCGCTAATTTTAAAATTTTCCATGTAGAAACAACTTCACGATTTCTACTATCGGCTCATTGTTCCCACTCCGGATTTGCCTGACGAATTTCCACTACTTGCACAGTACATTGGTGAGCCACTGAATTTTCGTGAAGATTTCCGTGTTCGTCTAATCCAATACTTATAACATGCTTAACCTTTTAGAGCAAGCCAACGATTTGATTTCGGACTGGGCTTCACGTACTGAGTTTGACCAGATCCACACCTACTACACTTACTACCAGCGGGCCAAGAATATGTGGTTCGATCTTCAGCGTTACACCCGCAATGCTGGCGTCCTCCTCTTGTTTCTCCGTCTAACTGATTTTATGGTAAGAACCCTCACCGTTGATGTATTTTTCTGTGCATAGTTTAACTTATATTCAATGCATGGCGTTTGTAGAAGCGGCTGCACGACTTTTACTACGAACGCATTGCTGGCGCCCCGGACAACTCGCTTGACTCGGGTTTCTTCGAGGGCGATCCGTCGGATGAAGCTGAAAGCGACGTGGGTGACGAAAACGAAGAAGAAGGTGAACACGTTCTTGCGGATGACACGTTGGAGAGTGAGCCGGCGACTGAAGCTGAAGAAGGAGAAATCGACGACGCGGTTCCGGAGACCGAAGCCGAAGAGGAACTGGACGACACTCTCCTGGTCGGAGACATTGACTTGGAAGAATACCTGAACAGCACTGAGCCTGCGGAGACTGTCGTAGGTGGCAACAAACGGAAGCATTCGGAAGACGACGACGACAACGACGAACCGCCTACCAAGAAGCAAGAGACTGAGGTGAACACCCAAAACTAAAATGTCGTAGTGCTTTTCTTTTTATGGTTTTGTTTTTACATACAATACATACCATGGGATAACGGCAGTACAGTTTTCATACCTCTCATTTGATACCGCATACCGTGGGATAATGGTTACAGTATTAGTGGAATTACAGTGTTGTGGTAATGGTGTAGACTGTTTTCGATGGAGATGGTTGTTGTTGGAAATAATACAACGTGGTTCTTTTTCGTTAGTTTTTCACGTTCAAACATGTCGAAAAAAAGGCCGAGCGGTTACTTACCGGCGCTGCTAGCGCCGGTAAGTATCCACTCGCGCCCACTGGAACGCCCAAAGGTGTGGCTTAAACACTGTTAACCAATTGCATCGCATTACAGAAAACATCAGACCAATAAGCACACGCTGCAGTAATTCAGCTCGTGTATAAAACCCGCGCGGCACGAGATTTTTCTTCATTTTAATCCCTCACATCTGGCGAAAAAATGACTTATGAGTTGTCTGCATCTGATCATGCGGCTATTGCGGCCATACTCAGTGAGCCGTGGATGGATGTTGATGATGAGCAGCAGCAGCAAGCTAACGATGCGTACCAGTTAACCGTTGAAGATCAAGCAGCTTTTGATCACATGCTTGCTAATCCCAATGAGTTCAATGAACAGACTCTAGCAACGGCTTTGCTGCATCTGGATCAGGCTGATCAGTTGAGCCCCGGATCTTTAGCTGCCGCTCTTGCTCTTGCGCAACTGGACGACTGGCAGTATGAAGATCCTCAAGTGCCGCAAGCTGGTGGAAAAGCGGTCCGTGATGAATCGCTGCCCGATTTCTCAGGTCTATTCCAGTTGGTCAAAGAGTCGGAACGCGTTTTCAAAACATTCAACAGCACTGAACAGAAATACCGTGTCCAGATAGCCTCGCTACCGCGAATATTTGCAAAAGAAGAAACCATGCTCATCATGCCGGAAATCTTGCGCGTCATAATGGATTTGTGTTTTAAAGAATTTGCCCCGACGGACCGCGTTGTTGTGGCTCTTAAATCGGATGGGCTTGAAAGAGCGTTTTATTTAACCATGCGAAAGCTCTCTGACTTTAGCATACCCGCTTTTATGCATCGTATTGAGCTTCTGAACTCCGGCCAGAAGTTGGTGATTGACGATTCTTTCACCATACGGATTTGGCGTTCTATCATGCCGGCTGGTGGATCCTGGTTCCTCAGGCATCAGCACGTTAAGCATGACAGAAATCGTTTCAAGAAATCCATTGTAAGCGTTCGTGTAGGGAATAACTTGTGCTTACCCGCCGCATTGTTCCTGGGGAAATTTCGCCTGACGCATGACCTTGAAGTTCCGCAGCATAAAAATAAATGGTACAATTATATTCGCGCTAACCGCACTCACAACTTGGAAGCGGAGGCCGCCAAGATAATGAATAACTGCGATCTGCAACCCGGCCATTACTGCGACCTTGATGTCTTAGGCGTGCTACAGGAAAATGAATTTCCCGAGTTTCAAATTAAAGTTATATCGGCCAATCAAGGCGATATGATTATTGCACGGGTACCCGAGCGTAAAACCCATGATATGCAGGAGATTTTTTTGTTGCTGGACAATGAGCATTTTGACCTGGTCACAACCGCGACAGGCTTTTACTGCTCTCCCTACTTCTGCAATGATTGCGATCGACCGTATCATCATAAAGAACGTCATCGTTGCGAGGGGAAATGTAGGTCGTGCTACCGCAACAAGAGCGATTGTCTGGTGGACAACCCAATCTCCTGCACTGAATGCAGCCGTCGGTTCCACAACCAACAGTGTTTCGATATCCATAAGAAGAAAAGGAAAAATGGAAAGAATTATTGCGAGCAAATGTTCATCTGCCAGGCATGCGGTGTTTTTGTAAATCTTTCCAGTCGTGGCAAAAACGTAAAACACCAGTGCGGAGAAATTTATTGCAACACGTGCAATGGTTTTTTTCTTCAAGCTACGCATTTGTGCTACATAAAACCGCTCAAGGCACCGCCACCATGGCAGCAAGAAGAAATGAAATACATTTTCTTCGATTACGAAACCTACAACGATCCAGTGAATGGTCATGTGCCCACATGCATCGTTGCGCAATATGCTGATGGTTCGGAAGTACGTTTTCCGGAAGATGGTCAGCCGATGAATACGGAAGTTGATGAGGCATTTGGGCGCTGGCTGTTTCAAGAAAAGCATCGGGGATTTACTATCATAGCACACAATTTTCGTGGCTACGATGGACATTTTGTCCTAAAGTACATGTTGGACAATGGTTTGAAAGGAGTGGAGGTCATCAAGCGTGGGACGCAGTTGTTGGAATTACGGTACCGCAAACTGGGGATCCGTTCACGTGATACACTCAACTTTCTGGCTTTGAAGTTGAGCCAGTTACCAAAAGCAGTTGGCTTGGAAATCGAAGTGCAGAAAGGCGACTTCCCACATCGATTTAATAAGCCTGAAAATTGGGATAAAACCGATTTGCCCTGGCCCGAGCCGGAACAGTACATGATTGATGGAATGCGAAAAAAGCAAAAAGAAGAATTTCTAAAGTGGCACGCTGAAGCTAAAGCGGCCGCCAATGGGGTGTTCAATTTTCGCGAGCAGATGATGACATACTGCTCGAACGATGTTACGGTTTTGCGTGTGTGTGCGCTGAAGTTTATCAGCGATTACCAAGCTCTGACGTCGCTGAATCCAATGGAAAGCATGACCATGCCTTCGGCCTGCTACCGGTACTGGAGAATGTTTCACCTTCCGAGAACAAAGTTGCCGCGTTATCCAGTCACGGACCGCACAGAAACCGACGGACTAGCATTCAAGCCACACAATGGCTGGAATGGGAAAACATGAGCGCAAACGGTCGTATACGACATGGTCGGAACGGCAAAGAAGTTAAAATTGGGCGATACTTTGTAGACGGTTTTGACAAGGAGACACAAACCGTTTACGAGTATAACGGCTGCGTCTTCCATGGACATCCTTTCTGTACTGAAGAAAACGATGTTGTACCATACTCCAAAAAGAAAATGCGCGAAGTTTACGAAGAGTTCCAGGAACGCGAACGCTTCCTTGAAAGTCAGGGCTACACTGTAGAGGTGAAATGGAGTTGTGAGTGGCTCAAAGAACGACAAGATCCCGATATTGCCGCATTTCTGCTGAATATGAACATTCGTGAGCCAATGAATCCTCGTGACGCCTTCAAAGGAGGCAGGACGAATGCTAGTCGTTTGTACTACCAAGTGAAGGATGACGAAGAAATTAGGCACTATGACGTTGTTAGCTTGTACCCATTCGTGAACAAGACTAAGGCATACCCGGTCGGCCATCCTGAAGTAATCGTATCCAATTTCAAGGATGCCAAAGATTATTTTGGACTGGTCTACTGCAAAGTAGCGGCTCCGAATCAATGCCTGTATCCAGTCTTACCGGCCACAATAAACGGCAAGCTTATGTTTGTTCTATGCAAAAAATGCGCAATGGAAAAAGCGTCAAGCCGTTGTGCGCATACAGACGATGATCGCTGTTTCGAAGGGGTTTGGGCGACACCCGAGCTACATCATGCCATCGATGTGGGGTATCGTGTTGTGGAAATGTATGAAGTGTGGCACTGGACGCAGTCTGACACCAAACTCTTTGCGGCATACATGGACAAGTTTTTAAAAGTGAAAATGGAAGCCAGTGGTTGGCCTGCGTGGTGCGATTCCGATGAAAAGAAAACCAAGTTTATTCAGACGGTTAGAGAACGCGAAGGCATTTCCTTGGATCCTGATGCTATGGTTTTCGATGCTGGAAAGAAAAGCACTACCAAGATTGTGGTGAACAGTCTTTGGGGTAAAACCGGTCAAAGTTGCGATATGAACTCAACGGAGTTTGTCTACGACCCCAAACGGTATTCTGATCTGTGTCGTTCAAAAGCTATTGAAATACATGATGTGTATGGCGTAAGCCCAACGTGTCTAATGGTAACACACTCGAAAGTGGATGACTACAATGAAGGTAGCAACGGTACGAATGTTGTCATTGCCGCCTTCACCACCAGCCATGCGCGACTTATACTGTTATCCCTCATGGAAAAGTTGGGCGAGCGCCTCCTGTACTACGACACGGATTCCGTCATATTCATTCACCGACCTGGCGACTGGCTTCCTGATACCGGCAGTATTCTTGGGGACTGGGATAACCAGCTAGAAGCTGGCGAGAATCATATCGTCAAATTTGTTTCGTGTGGTCCAAAAGTGTACAGCTACGAAACCAATACGGGGCGCATTGAGTTGAAAGTGAAAGGGATGATGCAGAACGGATTTACGGAAGATATTCTGGATTGGGACTCGGTCACGAAGGAGCTGACGCGGACTGGAAAAGCCTTGGATTTTAACCAGCTGAAGCGGTTACTGGATGGTGTGGATGGGCATGTGCAGGTTGTATATCCAGAATACATCAAACGAAATGGAAAAACCCAAGAAATTAATACTGTTCAGTTGGCTAAAAAATTGAAGCTTGTTTACGACAAGCGCATCATGTTAGATGATTTTACAACGCTGCCTTTTGGCACGCGATAAAAAAAAAGAGGGTGGGGAAAAAATCAATAAAAGAAAGGGGGAAACCTAATCTGTTTGCGTCGCTTCGTCGCTCACCATTACATCCAGCACCTCTTTCGTAATTTTTCTTGATTCTTCCAACTGCGTACGATTGGCGGACTTGATAAAATAGGAAACAATCTCTAAAGTATTAAAAACTACCAGCAGCATGGTGACCAGTACTGCAAAGAATACTGATGCTGCTTTTTTAGCTAACGGCTTAACCATTTCTTATAAGGTCGCGTATAAATGTTGCGTCACGGACTACAGTCCTTAGTCGAAAAAACTTGTTGATGAATTTACATACAAATTTATCATTCACACCTTTATGCTTAGTGAGAGCAGACATGACGTCTTTATACGAAAACCCGTAGCAACGTAATAAAACGAAAAACATACAATATTGACCACATACAGTACTATCAGCGTTCTGTCGCTCAGTATTCGACATTATAACAAAGTCGTTGTCTATCCATTTTTCAATGTCATCTGAATAGTCGCCGGGATTTTTTCCGTACGAATCAAAAACTTCTAACGTACCGGGTTTCGTACAATAAAATGCTACCCAGTGTTCACCCGCCGCACCTGACGGTTGAGTGTTAGATATGTATGCACCTGGAAATTCTTTTGCTGGCAGTGTATCACTGGCAAATACTCCGACAAAAATGTCGCGAACGTTAGGATCTTGCTTTAGCGCTGAATCTATTTGTAGGCTGTTCATGGCGCAAAGTCGAAAAGTACTTGGCGATTGTTGTTAATTTCGATAATGTTATCGAAGACCATCATAGCTACGCAAACTATACCTTCAGGTAGCGGTTTTGCAAATTTAACATTGATGTTTAAATTACCTTGCCTTATCAGCGACAACGCTCCTCTGCCCGTATGGCCGCGAGTGAAGTCAAACCCAAAAATATTGAAACCACCCTTGTTAAATACGGACCTGTCAAATGGTAGTTCGCCATGACCTTCATGCAGCCGCTCTAGAGTATCTAACAACCCTTCATACCCTTCAATTGACGCACCGTTCTGGAAATCTAAATTGTACCCCCGCGTAGGAAAAAGCTGTCCATCAA